CACATTCATGTATTTTGGTCCTGATTTTGATTTTGATGTGTGGTTTTGGCTTTCTATGACATGTTTTCATCACGGAGTTGGAGGGTGGGTGTAACTCTGATCCATGCTTCAGGTCAGGCAGTGCCTGGATGCCTAAGTCATGCATGCTTCAGCGGCCCCCACCCTTTGGTTATTATTGAGCAAAGTTTGCTAAGATCTTTTTGGGCATTTCACAACTTCTTAAACTCAGATATTATAAGCCAAGAAAAATTTATTCTACATTTTGTCTTTATCATGCTCTTTCATACTTCAGAACAAACTGACACTTTAGGACGGAACTCAGGGATTCTGTGGGGTCAAAACTAATTTCATAATATTACTAAGACTTTAACATGTAACGGGTTCACCTTGCTATCCCCCCCAAAAAATAAAAAATTGCGCCACTGCACTCCAGTGTGGGCGACAGACCAAGACCCGTCTCTCAAAAAGTAAATAAATAAAGAATTTTTTAAATTTCTGTTAAAAAAAGTTTGTCAGATTAATCATTCAATTTGGTTAAGCACAAATTTACGTTTTTTTCATAGTCTTAAACCTTAAGTAGGAGTAACATTCACTTATTTGATCAGTATATCTGTATAGCTTTTGTGTACAAGTAGAATAACAATGTATAGTATGGCTGGGCACAGTGGCTCATGCCTGTAATTCTAGCATTTTGGGAGGCCGAGATGGGAGGATACTAAGGCCAGGAATTTGAGACCAGCCTGGGCAACATAGTGAGAGACCCCATCTTTAAAAAAAAAAAATGTTTAATGCTGACAACTCACAGAAGACATGGTTATTTTTATTAAACCACAAATATTCGGCTAGTCACATTTGCCAAAGATTTACCTAAATATGTGAACTCGAATTCTTAAAACATTTACATTTCTATAAGAATACTTTTTTTTAGTGCTGTTGAAAGTATTATTGGAAGTCCAATTTTCTTAATTTCTGGGAATTTCAGGAATATTCAATGTATAGGCACCTCTTTATTTCTAAGTCAGTTAGAACAGAACTTCCTGAAGAGCTATCATAATCTCATTTGGTAAGACCATCTCGTGATGCTTATCCCAGGACGGGAGACAATAGCTGCTTTGAAATCTCCCCTGCCACACTGGGCTTCCAGTACCAGAGCAGCTAACAGCCCTGCCCTAACAGAAAATGCTGGGGAGCAGGGTGCCAGTATTTACTTGGGCGCCTTTCACAGGCACTTCTTTTACCTGGTGGACGCAGCCTGATGCCTCTTGTCTGGCCCAGTATCAGGCGTTCCTCACACGGGAAATGTGCTCATCCTGGCAGACACCCTTGTGGCTCTCTTCTGACCCTCTCCAGTTTGTGACTGCCTGACCATCGCTCTGGTGCTCGGAGCCTGCCCTTGTGTTCTTCCCTGGCATCCCGGGGAAAACCCAGGCAGCCTGGGAGAGCCCCTGGTTCTTCAGATGGAATGTGCAAACTCAACACACCACCGTGATAGGAAATAAGTTCCAAGATTTATGACTCCCACATCCTAGGGAGGGAGGGCGCCATGTGTCAGGAGGGCAGTGCTGTATCCCCAGATCACAAGAAGAAAGAGTGAAGAGTCAGGCATAGCGAGAGAGAATGGGACCCACGGGCCAGCGCCTTTGTCGGGGGCCAGGGCATTGTCCAAACAGATTTCCTGCAGGGAGTTGTAGTTGGTGGGTTTAAAACAGGCAGTCATGAGTTTCAGGGCCACACAGCAACTGAGAGGTGGTCAGTGTGGCAGACTCCACAGTCCACATGGGGTGTGGGATTGGCAGGGCTGGCAGGGTAGGCTTCCCTTAGGGAGGTCTTCACCAGGAGGAGGTGTGTACAGCAGATCCCTGGATCAGCCGCATTGAGGACTGGGGGTGGTAGGTGGAAGCTCTCCAGGGAAACTAAGCCCTGTTTCTGGTATGAGAAAGTTAAACTTATATTCAAAATAGATTCCAAGGCTATATAAAATTAAGTATTCGCTATAGTGGCATTTCTGCAGTACAAATATACAGACATGCCCAAGGACACAGATAATTTGTAAGCTTCAATTCTAAAATTTTAGGCCGGGCACAGTGGCTCATACCTGTAATCCCAGCACTTTGGGAGGCCAAGGCAGGTGGATCACCTCAAGTCAGGAGTTTGAGACCACCCTGGTCAACACGATGAAACCCATCTCTACTAAAAATACAAAATTTAGCCAGGCATGGTGGTGGTTGCCTGTAAGCTATTTGGGAGGCTATGGCAGGAGAATTGCTTGAACCTGGAAGACGGAGGTTGCAGTGAGCTGAGATCGTGCATTGTACTCTAGCCTGGGCAACAAGAGCAAAACTCCATCTCAAAAAGAAAAAGAAAAAAAATTAGTCATGGGCCAAACATAAACACAAATATAAATTTTTGTGTAGATGTCTGCTTCCTGATGGCATGAAGTACTTAATTGTTTTGAGCCCAAAGTGGAAAAGTAGACAAATAAAAAGTACTAGCAAATCAGATTATTTATCTTTCACTCAACAGAGACAAGATCCCTGTAAGCCAGCAGTCCATGCACAGACATCACCAAATAGTCAGACTATGAAACCAAAAGAAGCTGGCATCAGAAATCAAGTGACTACTCAAAACGATTACAGTCAAATTCTTACCTTGATACCAACAGCCTGGAGAGCAGCATCAAGCTGAAGTCCATGCTGAGTCTCTGGGTCTGAGACTCGGAGGCCCTTCTGTACAGAATGAGTCCCATCCCATCTGAGTCATGGCACCAAAACTCAAAGACGAATTCACCGGACGGTTAGAATCATTCTGTGTTCAGACTGTTGTCATGGGAGGACTTTCATTAATGAGGAATGTCTCAAAGAAAAGGAAGGAGCTTGGAGTTTTGGAGAGGCAAATAAACAAGGAGTTATGAGCAAGTCGTGGGGGAATCCTGAAGGGGATGCAGTGGGCTTGTCTGAGTCACTGGGGAGGAAGGGGGTGTGTCTTATCTTGGACCCTAGGAGCGGGGTGGCCCTTTGCATTCACCATTTCTCAAAATATAAAAGGCTGGGGAGAAGTCTTAAATAAGCCTTTATATTCTAGGAACATAGGGCTCAGGTATAGTTTCAATTTGTCATTGAAAATTACTTTGGTAAAAAAAAAATTGAATACATATGATAGGACAGGTAAATCCAGGTCTCAGGTATAAGGAACTGTGTAGTTTTTCAGCACTTAGTATGTTGATCCTAATACATGTTAGTTTGTGTTTTTGGACTTTTCCAATAATGTTAAACAAGGTTTACTGATTCTCTTTAGGTTTGTGCATTATGACCGTTTCACACTATATAGATTGTACTTGGAGTGTGGGGGTGGGGTTAGCTTACCTTCACTAAAGAGAATAGAGTGACCAAACTTTCTTAGCTTCTTCATGACCATCAGTGAAATGTGAGGCAAAGCAACAGTCACATAGATAAGTGACTACATTAAGAATTGGCTCCTATGCCTGTGTAATTCATACTGTAAAGGTTATTCACAAAACTGCTCATTTCAGTGTTGACTTGCAACAGAATTGTTAATCATGAAGGAAGAGGGTGGAGGTAAAGAGGGCAAAGCCATGGAGAAGCAGCCTGGGATTGTAGAAGTCGCAGCCAAGCAGCCCCTTTTTCTCCTTCCCCTGCACCTCCTGATCCTAGAGATGGAGAATTCTCACACACGGGACCCTACTGGCTTTTTTTGGGCAGTTCCCCGTAACCATTTTGGGCTGCTCACGTCACTGGGCCTATGTAGTTCTCACTCAAAGGTGACATTGAAGAGCAAAATCAGGCTTCAAACAGAATCTTACCTGATGATTAGAGAGAGACTTCCTCGTGAAGACCTTGTCTCTAGACCTAACCCAGGTAGTTGTTCCACTTGTGGTGTCAGAAATGGCTAAGAGCTAACAGTAGAATGTTCTGCGTGGCTGGCTAAAAAGACAGGGAAGCCGTCATCTGTTAGCTTATCGGTCACTCCTCTGTGGTCTTCCTTTGAATATCTTTGATTCATGTTGCCTCATTCTTCCTTCTCTACCTTCCCCAAATATGTAGTACACAAACCCCTTCATGTCTGTCACTTTCGTCAACCCTGGGGTCCTTTAAATGTCTTTTGTTCCTTCTCATTTACTTCACATTGACTTTTCAAGACATACTGGTTATACTGCACAGTTAGTTCCATTTGAAGTATCCCATGCAAATTACCAAAGTGTATGAATAATGTGAATTCATTTTCATTTGTATATATGTATATACAAGCATATGCACACACACCCTATAGAGTGAACATTTGGCTGAATATATGACCAAATGGTTAAACGGTAGTCATTTCTAGCTGGTGAAATCACAGGAAATTTGTATTTCTAACTACATATTTCTATAGCATTTAATTTTTTTTTTTGCAATTCGGCCTGCATTTCGTAACATTAGCAAAAAAAAAAAAAATAAATATTTTATTTAAAAAATTTTTAATTCCAGTTAGTAGCCAATGTCAACACAACAAATAAGTTCCATTGTCCATGCCCCTTGTGTGTGGGGGATTCACTTGACAGGTGCAACAGAAGCACAAGCATTGTTGTGCCCATGAGTCTGAGATGAGAATGAGGTTGCCTAGCAGTCTTGAGAAGAGGGGCTGGCAAGTGTACAAAAGCCCCTTCTTACCTTCTGCACTCTGAAGGCTGTAAAGATGTTGACACACCCAGAGGTCTGCAGGCTAACTGGTAGAACAGATTCCTGGAGGGAAATATTTTTTTGTTTTTTGCTCTTGTACCTCCTATCTGGATTATTTTGGATTGGTTTGGGGATAGTATTTGAGTTTCTATCTCTTGGGCGATTTTTTTCCAGGAATATGAAGTTTTTTTCTTTGATATATGCTTAAATGTTTATCTTTAAGTGATGTAATTTTTCAAAAAACTTATTAAAGTTTATTTCTGTGGGAAAAATATTTTTTCTGTTTTTGACTGTTTTTTGTTCCTTCTCTTTTGAAATCTCTAGCCAACAAGAACATTAGTCATGACAAGCATGCCATCTGAGTAAGTACTTGTTTTGATTTCTGTTCAATATAAAATGTTAACCTTTCTGTCATACACTCTAATTCTGGGTGCCTTCGGGCAATGTGTCCATCCATCCTGTATCACCTTTACTTTATATAATGAATATCTGAGTTAGAAGATCACTGAAAATTAAACATGTACCAAATGTGAGCGATTTCGCCTTCAAAACTCTGGGGTTGTTTAGGCAGCATTAAGAGGTATGTGCTCTTCTTCACGTTCCTTTGCTTGCTTGATACCAAATAGCTTCATTGAATGTCCAAGAAGGGGAACAATATTGACCAAGACATTTCCCATTAAAGATCTTAAAGCAATACTGCTGCAGAAAGCTTTCCACAGCTGTGTTAAAGTCGCTGTCTGTGCATTCTGTGGAAGGGTTAATAGCTCGTTGGCATGCTCTTATCATCTCCCTTCAACATTTAACACAACAAAGAACATCCAACAAAAATACAGTACTATATTCTTTGCAGCAGATTTCTGAATTCCTGTTTAAAGGGGAAAACCATGTTTTTGATATCAATCATAGGTTTTAAGGTTTTAAAACATCCATCAAAACACTGGAACATTTCAGTGAAAACCATGCTGCAGAGAGCGCACATTTAGAACACTTTTGGTAGTGGGATCCTTTTCCTGCCTGTGGCTTTAAATAGAAGGATTGATCATTCAAGCACCATGCATTATACAGTGAAAAGGGAGATCACTCAAAATTTTTGTAAATGTATTATAAAATACATTGAACATTATAAAGAGTGCAATACAGAAGTGCATATTGAATATGCATGTAATATTTTTTGACGTTTACATTTTTCCAGAATTATAATAATAACTAGTTATTTTCCAATTCATGATTTTAAAATAAAACTTTTCATTTAGGCCATCTTCTTGTCTTACTTTTTTTTTCTCCACGTAGACTTCTTGTGATGGTTAAGAACAAGACCTGGACATTCTGATTTTATGTGGATTAGCTCTGCCTTGCAGAGACACTCGTTACTTATTGGCAAATCCAGCAAGTAGCTGCCGGCCTCAGGACGGAGTTCTTCTAGGAAGTGTCTAGTTTAGAGGCTTTTATTTTTTGTTTTGTTCTTGTTTTCTTGTATCATTTTGCCTTTTTTTCCAAATTATTTTTCATGATTCAAATATATGCACAGATTCTCTGTTTGAAGTAGTGATGGGGCCCAGATCTTGACTCACGCATCTTTTCTACTCTAAGGTTCTCCAATAATTTAAAAGCGTGACATAATTTAGCCCTTTCATTTTAGAAACAGGTCTTCATATGGACATACTTAAGATCACTAAAGATAAAACTAAGATGGCCGAGTACATTGGTTCATGCCTATAATCCCAGCATTTTGGGGGGGCCAGGTGGGCATATTGCTTGAGCCCAGGAGGCCAAGACCAGCCTGAGCAACATAGCAAAACCTCGTCTCTCCAAAAAATTGCAAAAATTAGCCAGACATGGTGGTGAGTGCCTATAGTCCCAACTACTTGGGAGGATAAGGCAGGAGGATCGCTTGAGCCCAGGAGCTCCAGGATACAGTGAACCCTGATTGTGCCACTGTACTCCAGCCTAGGTAACAGATCAAGATCCTATCTCAAAACAATAAAATAAAACTAAGAAACACCATCATTTGGAAGGAAGAGTGTTAGGGACACTCTATAAACATAGGCAATAACCTCTTCCCTTTGTAATATAATTTTTGGAGAGGAGAGATGTTTATTTCTTAACTTATTGTGTATGTCACAGTGTGGCTTAGAAAGCCTTTCATTGGGAATTTTAAAAGTTTTGTGGGAGCGAGAGAGAAGCAACGTCAGAACAAAGGGCATTAGAAAGGTTGTTATAAAAGGGAAGAAAGAACTCATCTTTGTTTGGTAAGGAAGTTGGATGGAAATGATATTTTTTTTGAAAGGGTACTTTAAGTATTAAGGGAATGACAGAGCAGAAGAGAAGCGGTAATTGTTGTGAGCTTTGTGACAGATAGGTCCTAGATTTGATCTGAGGATTTAATAAAAAGGATCTTTTTTTCCCCTCTTTGTAGAAAAACTATGTATTGATACTCAATAAATATTACATTTTTAAAATAAGATAAGTGAGGATCTTAGTTCTGAGCATGCACCGATAGGTTCAAATAGGCCTGAAAAGCAAATACTTGCCCTAGTGGGAGGAATACTGGTCTGGTGTCAGGGGCCTGGTTTCTGAGACTGGCTCTGTCCCTACCCAGCCCAGCCACTGTGGGAAGCCATCGGCAACCTGTGGACTTGTCTTCTCAGACGTTAAAGTAGAACTGAGATCTGAAGTTTCTTCCCCCAAATTTCTTTTTTTTTTGAGACGGAGTTTCGCTCTTGTTACCCAGGCTGGAGTGCAATGGCGCGATCTCGGCTCACCGCAACCTCCGCCTCCTGGGTTCAGGCAATTCTCTTGCCTCAGCCTCCTGAGTAGCTGGGATTACAGGCACACGCCACCATGCCCAGCTAATTTTTTTGTCTTTTTAGTAGAGACGGGGTTTCACCATGTTGACCAGGATGGTTTCGATCTCTTGACCTCGTGATCCACCCGCCTCAGCCTCCCAAAGTGCTGGGATTACAGGCTTGAGCCACCGAGCCCGGCCTCTTTCCCCAAATTTCAAACCATTGATCGTAAATCCATTAAGACCTAGGCACTATAAGCAAAATCAGTTTAAAATGTTGGCTTTCTAGTTTTATTATTACTAATATTCAGTGTAACTGCCTTGATGTTCATGTGCAAACTCATTCATTTTGTTAATTTTTCCCCCTATTTGCTAGAAAGCAGAACGTCGTCATCCAGGTAGTGGATAAATTGAAAGGCTTTTCGATCGTGCCAGAAGTCTGTGAGACTACGACTCACGTGCTTTCTGGGACGCCTCTTCGTACCCTGAACGTGCTGCTGGGAATTGCGCGTGGCTGCTGGATTCTCTCTTATGATTGGGTAAGCCCTGTTTGTCAACTGCATATCTTAAAACAAGGTGTTTTGATAGAGCGGGTCACCCTGAGGTGCTGACACCAGCATTCAGGCCGGCACGCACCCTTGCGGATCTTCACGTTTTCCTGTGCGCCGGGAACACCGGTCTTCCCTCCTGTTGATCTCCCTCATGGTGCTATCCTTCAACCAGCGCCAAGTCCTGGGGCGACAGGAGGAGGGGGAGGGTCGACGGCAGGAAGTGAGTAGCCTCCGAGATAAAGCAGAAGCAAGATTAGAAAGATGCTGAAAGAAACGCAAAGTACGCGTTCTCACAGTCAAAGAGCTTCCTCTATGTGTAACCAAGAAATACTGTGACCTGTGGTAGTGATGGTTTGCAGAGCCAAAAGAATTCAGCGATTGTTTGTACAGATGGATTTACTTAGGATGAAACATGTTCTTTTAATCCCATTTAGATAGGTTTTATTCTATGCATATCCATCTGTAACATTATTTGCCCTTATTTCTGTATATTAAAGATAGTTTTTAGTTTTTAAAAGTACGTCATTTTCATTAATCATAAAAATCGAAATGATCTGTTATTGGTTCTATTTTTACTTTGATCCTCAGCCTAAGGTTGCTCCAAAGCATTGCTTTCTGATGACAGTAGCCTCATTTGTTACTTGTGTTGCCATTTTGCATCTGTTGCCTCTGTCTTTCCTCTTCCTCTCCCAAGAATGTATTATATTCGTACTCATACTGTGTTCACTTAAACCAGTAGAATTATAACATGCAAAAGCTACACATGTATTTTCAAGAATGGCCGTGGTCTTTTTTCCGTGTTGTAACTGAGTTTAAAGAGATTGGTGCTTTGGATTGTGAAGCAGAAAAGGCTGAAATTCCAAAAGTAAGCACTATTTATTTGCACTGGTGGAAGTTGGGGAATCACCCTACCTAATTATATACTAGTGCTGCTTTATGTTTATTTGGATGCAAGACAGTAGTCCCCTACCTCATCCAGGGATTTGCTTTCTGTGGTTTCAGGTACCAGAGTCTGAAAATATTAAATGAGAAATTCCAGAAATGAACAATTTATAAGTCTTTAAATGCATGCTTTTCTGAGTAGCAGGAAGAAATCTCAGTTCATCCTGATTCATTCTGCCTGGGATGTGAATCATCCTTTAGGCACAAGAGTATTGATGCTGACAGCTTCGATATGCCAGAGAGAAGCTCCAAGGTGCTTTCTTTAAGTGAAATGAAAAATTTTTTTCTTTAAGTAAAAGAAAAATGGTATGCTGATGTAGCTAAGATGTATGGGAAAAATGACTCTTGGACTCATGAAATTGTGAAGAAAGAGAAAAAATGCACATAATATATGTAGGGTTCAGAACTATCCACAGTTGCAGGCATCCCTCAGGGGGTCATGGACCGTAGCCCCTTTGGATAGGATGGACTACTGTTTTTCATAACTCTAGCATCAGTAAATGAGCTCTGTGTTTTATTTTCTCCAATTCAGATTGTCTCTGTATCTTCATCTGACTCCGGTTCCTTACCTCAGGTTTCAGAGGAAAAAATGTTCTTACAATGACCTGTGTCTGTCCAGGATTCTTTACCCGACTTATTCTTCTGGGACTTTGAGCAGTCCATACAGGTCAGACGTGAGGACTGACTGCATTTTCTGTTGATGTGCATAGAGACCCTGGTGCCCCGCATGTCTCTGCTCAGTGTCCTGCCAGTACTCTCTGACCAATCGGATATAGAAACAGAACTGGGTGAAAATTTAAGTGATTGTATCTCTTCTGGGATTACCTGATATGAGAAAAGTGGACCTTCAAATGCGTTAATAAACTTCTGCTCTTCAGTCTAGACTCCTTGCCCGAAGGGAAGAACCGGGGGCAGTCAGACACGTAAGTGAATGAAGGGGGTACAAGGTAATCAGACAAAAAATGTAATAAAAGGCCTGTAAGTTAGAAAGGAAGAAATGAACCTATCTATTTATAAACCACATGATCTTCTATGTAGTCAGTCATAAGAAATCTACAGAACAGCAATTAGAGCTGCGAAACTGAGTTGAGCAAGTCATCAGGATGCAAGGATTCCATTGAGGCTTCAGTATAAAGCTAATAAAATAAATGCAGGATCTGTATGCTGAAAACTACAAAATGCTGATTTTAAAGATCAAAGAACTAAGCATATTAAAAGACATAAAATGTTCATGGATTGGGAGACACAGTACAGTGAACATGTCACTCCTCCCCAAAATGATTTATAGATTTCACACAATCCCAATCAAAATCTCAGCAGAATCTTTCAAGATATAGACATGCTGGTTCTAAAATTTATATGGAGATGTTAAGGAGCCAGAATAGCTAAAACAACTTAGAAAGAAAAGAACAAGGAGGAGGACTGTCACTACCTGGTTTTGGGGCATCCTTTCAAGCTATGGTCATCCAGCAGTGTGGTATCAGTAGACACACAGAACAGATAGAGAATCCAGAAATCAACCCCAGAAATTTATCCCATAGATTTTGACAAAGCATGAGGCAATTCAGTGGAGAAATTCAGTCTTTTCAACAAGTGATGCTGGAGCAGCTGGACACATACAAGTAAGAAAAGGAACCTTTCCACCACTTTGAGTGGATCACCTGACGTCAGGTATTTGAGACCAGCCTGGCCAACATGATGAAACCCCATCTCTACCAAAAATACAAAAACCAGCAGGGTGTGGTGGCACCTACCTGTAACCTCAGTTACTCAGGAGGCTGAGTGAGGCACAAGCATCACTTGAACTGGTAAGGGGGAGGTTGCAGTGAGTCAGTTCTATGCCACTGCACTCCAGCCTCGGTGACAGAGAGATACTCTGTCTGAAAAGAAAAAAATTTTAAAAAGGAATCTCATTCTATACCTTACATGGGCCACAAAAATTACCTCCAAAAGGATCATAGACTAAATGTAAAGGTGTAAAAATTCAATAAGTAAACATACAAGAAAAATAGTCTTGGCATAGGCAAAGAGTTCTTAGGTACATGAAAGACATGATCAATAACAGAAAACCTTGATACATTAGAGTTCATCAAAATTGAAAGAGTTTGCTCTGTGAAAGATATTATGAATAGATCAGGAGAAAACATTTGCAAATCTTATATTTGACAAAAGATTTATATCTAGAACATATAAAAAAAACTCTCAAAACTGAACAATAAGAAAACAACAGCCCAAACAAAAATTGGCGAAGAAAAGATTTGAATAGACATTTTACTGAGGACACGCAAATGGCAAGTAAGCACCTGAAAAGTTGCTCATCATTATTGCTCACTTCAGAAATACAGTGGGATCCACTGCATATCCATTAGAATGGCTAAAATAAAAAATAACAGTCGCACTCTAGCTCGGAGCCAGGGCAGCTGAACAGCTGCTGGTGTGAGTGGGAAGTGGTCCAGCCACGCTGAGAAAGTTTGGCAGTTTCACAGAAAGCTAAATGTCCACTCAGCAGTCCCACTCCCAGATATTTGCCCCAGAGAAATGAAAGCTTGTGTTCACACAGAGTCTGTATGTGAATGTTTGTAGCAGCCTTACTTATCATCACCTAGGCCTGGAAACAGCACAGCTGTCCCTCCAGTGGGTGAATGGATCAACCAGCTGGACCATCCATACTGTGGAGTACAACTCAGGAATCGAAAGGAATGGTGATCCGTGCAGCGGCTTGCATGACTGTCAAGGGCATCATGCCAAGTTGAATAGGTGGTCTCAGAAGGTCACATACTGTGTAAGGCCATTTCTTTATCATTCTGGACAAGGCAACACTATAGAAAGTGAAGGAGAACAGATGAGTGGTTGCCATGCATTAAGGTGGGAGTTGTGCCTGCCTCTGCAAAGCAATAGAAGCTGTCACATCTTTGGGGCATCGGAATTGTGCTGTGTTCTGATAGTGGCAGTGGTTACAGAATCTGTGCATGTGTTAAAATGCAGAGAACTATACACACACATGCACACACGAGTAAATTTTATTGTTTATAAATTTAAATTAAAAAGTATATCTAATGTGCTTTCTAAATGGAGATGTTTGAGTGCTGCTGGTAGAGCCTGGCTAGTGCCTTGCTTTCAGAACTAGGTTTCCTTCTGCTTGCTCAGCAGCTTATGGGCTCCTCTACTGCTGCCTCTACCCCTACACTTCCCATCAGCAGTGAAGCTTCATCCCGGATGGACTCTTGCTCTGTTGCCAGGCTGGAGTGCAATGGCATGACCTCGGCGCACTGCAACCTCTGCCTCCCAGGTTCAAGCTATTCTTCTGCCTCAGCCTCCTGGGTGGCTGGGACTACAGGCACGTACCACCATGCCCAGCTATTTTTTTAATTTTTAGTAGAGACGCAGTTTCACCATGTTGCCCAGGATGGTCTTGATCTCTTGACCTTGTGATCCACCAGCCTTGGCCTCCCAAAGTGCTGGGGTTACAGGCATGTACCACTGCACCTAGCCAGCTCTTATAGCTTAAAAAAATGAAAAGAATTTTAAAAAGTAACTTTCCCTAAATTGCTGTTTGCCCTCTGTTCTACCTTTTTCCCCCTTGTTCATGGCAAGATGTCACAAATGTGTGTCCGTATTGCCTTACTGATGATGTCGCTATTTGTGAATAGTGTCAACTCTTGGGCAAAGGCCCAGGTGTCCTGAGGCTTAAGGTGAAATATCTGTGTGATTACAAGGTAACCACGATGGCTGTCAGATGCCCCCTCTCACTGGCACAACAGGAGTATTGATGTTCATAAGTTGCTCCTGACTCGCACCCTCAAAAAGTTTAGAAACAAGCTGAGTCACTTTCTCTGTTCTTCTCAGGCTCAGAAAGATAAAGATGACTGCTGCTTCTTGCATGGCCCCCTCCTTTAACTTTTAAATAAATTCAGTAGCACAAACATAAGAAATGTGAGAGGGGATAGTTGCCACCACTGTTGACAAAGCCATTCTACATAATTTTTAAAGCATAGCACCCAATTTAATATTTATCTACATCTTGCCTATAACTTCAGGTATAAACT